CTGGGCCGCCTCTCCCCAGGCAAGTGAGTTTCAGGGGAAGGATCTCAGCAGGCTGTGCCTGGGGATTAAGCCACCATGTGGCCCTGACTTTGTCCTGAAGGTCTCAGGGCCTATCTCTTCTCCCGGAAGAGTGAATGGAAGAGCTTCCCAGCATCGCTCTGACAGTAACTGCCTACATTCTAGAGCTAAGATGAAGGCTCAGAGATGTGAGGGGCGTGTGTGTGGGGAGCCAGGGCACCCACCAGAGTCTGTGCTTTTAATGCTCCTCCCACTGCACGGGCAGTTGCCCCATTACCTTGGGCTGGCCAGGCAGGCGAGAATAGGCTGTGTGCACCTCATGCAGCACCCCCTTCCGGGCCATCTCCAACATCTCCTCCCGGTAAAGGTGGTCCTCATCTGGGCGCCGGCACCCAAACACCAGGGTCATGTGGCCTCTCTGGAGCCCTGCAAGACCCAGCAGGCTGCAGTTACAAGGGTGGCCACCAGAGGGTGGGCTTCAAAGCCTGGCAAGCTGGCCACCCAACTTGAATTCTCATTTCATTCCTGCAAGTGTCCTATCTAGCACTTTGCCCACCTCACAGATGAGGAAGCTGATGCCTGGGGCATTCATATCACTTGTCCACACAAGCGGAGGCAAACTGGGACGGGGCCAAGTAATGTCTGTGGGCAGTGGCACAACTCTCTTGCAGCTCAGTTCTGGCCACCTGGTGCCCCCCATTCCAACACTCAGAACCCCCCAGCTGTACCTTTGTGCTCAGTGTCATGGAGTCGCTGCTGCCAGAAACTGCGGAAGGGGGCAATGCCCGTGCCGGGTCCAATGAGGATGCAAGGACGGGAGGGGTCCTCGGGGAGCTGGAAGCCGCTGGCACTGATGGGGACAGAAAGAGACAGGCCCTAGTCCTCAGACACCATGGGCGGGATGCACATGCAGGACAGAGGCCGGGTAGCTGGGGTGTGTGCTTTGGGCGGTAGTGTTGGGTGTGTGCTTTGGGTGGTAGTGAGGGGCGTGTGGAGAAGACAGTTATCTCAAATTTGATTCCCAAGTCCTGCAGGCAGCTTCATTCCTCTGGCCTGAGCCACCATCACCTTGCCCTCACTGTCCGCTGGGGTTCCTCACCACTGTCATCTCCATCCCTGCTAGAGTCTTGGCCATGTTCTCCAGCCAGGAGGTAGAATGGAGGCCCCGGGTGACCCTTATGCCTTCTTTATGGGCCAATGGTTCCAGAGTGGCACCTACACCCAGGCCCCTCCCTTTCAATCCCAAACTCCCAGAACCAGTGGTCCCACAGCATACAGAATGGAGGGGGTACTTACCTTCTTACAAAACAGGGCACTGGGTCTTGGGGTTTCAGGCTGCTGAGCCATGTGCTGCAGACACCATGGTGCAGGGGACCCTGGCCATCTGCAAGGACAGCACAGACCTGACCAACATCGCCCCCCACCCTCCATCCCCAGTGTGTGAACTGCCCCAGTGGCTCCTGGAACTCCGTAGGCTTTAATATGGGAGCTGTTTTTCTACTGGTTCTGAGGCCCACCCTTCATATACTCAGAGCTGGTGAACGTGGAACGGGACATAGAGAGAAGGCAAGCCTCTCCTTTGGCCACTGCAGAAATTGAGTCTCAGAGGGACAGTGACTTGTACAAGGCCACTCAGGTAGCAGCAGAAGCAGGCCGCAGCTCAGCTTCCCTGACCCCTACTCCAATGCTCCTTCTACGAGTTTCTCCAGGGACCCTCCCAGCCACCACTCGGCTCCAATGACAATTGCTCAAAGGGGCCCTTGGGGGTGGCTACAGTCACTGCCCCAGAGTGTCTTCCCCAATACAGTCCTGACTGGCAGGAAGCCTGGGTGATGGACTACCTCCTGAGCATTCCGGTTGGTTCTGACATCTGTGTGTGGCCCCTCCTTGACTTGTGGAAGCCCCAGCTTTTTCCGGGGTACATTCCTTTCCCAATGGCCCAGAATTTAAGGGACTTCCAACCAAACTTGAGAAGTCCCTTTGGTTTTCCTCTGGATGGAATCTTGCTCTCATGGAACGTGCCTGCGTCTCCCCTCCTGGGCTGAGGGCTGAGCCTGGGCCTGTGCGACATTGTCTAGCACAGCAAATGGTCTCTGCCCGGAGATCAGAACTGCGTGACTGCGCTGCTCAGAGCACAGAGGGCTTAGAGGTGTGTGCTGGCTCCCCTGCTTTGGCGCCCCAGGCAATGTTCTGTTACCAAGGGCAAGGCACAGGCACAGTCCATCCAGGGGGGGAGCCAAGCCCACTGGACAAGGTTTTGGACCTTCAAGTCTGTGTCAGTCCATCCCCCATCCCCTGCCCTCATAGCACCCTTCTTGGCACTTCCACAGTGACAACTGTATTTCTGTGGGTCTCTCTTCATTGCACCCTCTCAATGGGAAGCTCCATGAGGGCAGAGGCTCCGTGTGCAGTATTTCCACACTGACCATGGTGCCAAGGGTAGAGAAGTATGGGACAAATCATTGCTGAATGAGTGTGTGAAGGAATGAACAATCAAGGCAGAATCTGCCCTGTATTCAGGCTGGACTATCAGGAAAACTGAGAATCATTGGGCTCCCACTAAGTATTGGGTGTTTCCCACCTTTGATCTCATTAAGTTGCCCCAATAGAAGCAGGACTGCAAAGTGGAGTAGGGTGGTTAAGAATTTGGTCCCTGCAGATGACCTGGGTGCGAATCTCAGTTCTCTGCTTGCTAATGGTGTGACTTTGAACAAGTGGCCTCAGCTTCCTCACCTGTAAAAAGCACACAGTAGCCATCTCACACGACTACTGATGATACGCATACAAAGGGGCGAGCTCAGTGCCTGGTTCAGAGTAATCTCTGCCACACACCTCCTACTGCGGTAACAGCTCTGCAGGTGGGAGTTTCACTGATGAGACCAAGGCTCAGACACGTTGAACAGCTGCCCAGTAAATAGCAGAGTGGGACTGCACCAAAGCCTCTGCCCCGGCCTTACCTCGGGTGCGGTAGGTGAGCACGGCCACGGTGAGGTGGACCTCCGTGGGGGTGCGGTCCCTGGAGGAGCTGATGGAGTAGTACCGGGGTTTCAGGACAGGGAGCTGGGAGAGCAGGAAGCTGGCAGATACCCGCAGGGACGGGAACTCCTCCAGCACCTCCAGGAATGTGGGACTGTTGGTGAACTTCCACGTATTGTATTCTGAGGGCTGGAAGGTAAGGGCAGTATGAGCACCTGCCCCACTCCGAGGGAAAAGGCTGTCACAGTCCAGGTTTCATTCGTATGTGCGTATTTGCATTCATTCATTCATTCAAGTCATTCCTTCCCTCAACAAAGACTTGGAGCTGTCCAGGGTGCTGAGACTACCAAGCTGGAGAGACACTATTTCCTGTCCTGAAAGAACACAGGCCAGTGAGTAGCATTGATCTCACTTTTGTGCTGAGAACTCCACTGTCAGCAACTTGTGGGCAAGAGCCAAACCTTTATTATAATCTCACTTGGAACCATACAGACCTGGGTTCAGATCTTGACTGGATGCTTGTCTTAGAGCTGTGGGATCCTGTCCCAATTGCTTAACCTCTGTGAAATGAGGAGGGCATCACCTACTTTCTTGTATTAAGTGAGAAAATGTGAGCCAAGTTACAGCAGCACAGTCTCAGGATAATGGCAGTGGAGGTGTCTGGAATCATGATAATTAGCAATAATGATGATGTAATAATGACATCCAGTGCGTTTTGCAAAGACTTGGGCCTAGAAAGTTGCAGGTGAGTTGATGCATTCTCTTATTAATTTCTTAATTCAACCACCCATCTGTCACTATGCCCATTTATCCATTCAGCTACGCCATCCATCCTCCAACACTTTCTACGTCCCAGGATTGTCTCAGGCTCGTCCAAGATTTGGAAATACAAAGACAAGAGACAGTGGCTCACTTTTCCTTAGATAATTTCTGAGGACGCGCACTTTGGTTGCATCCTGCAGACACTCAGAAAGATCCGGCTTACTCAGCACAATTGTGCCTAGAAGTGGGATGGGACAGGAAGCCTGACTTTGGCAAGTCTCGCTTTGGACAGCTGGGTGGTCCCACTTGGAGGTGAACGGCCAGCGCTGAGCTCTGGCCCCCACACAACTCCAGGCCCTGCCACTGCCCCACCCAGCAGGCAGCCCTGACTTCACCTGGCACAGGGTCTCTAGCCTCTGCCTCTCCGGTTCTTCTGTGGCCAGCTGAGCCAGCTTTCGGAGCAGCAGCTGGGTTGGGGGCGTGGTGATGTCCAGGAAGTAGGTGAGGGCCTGGCTGAGGGAGCAGGGGGGCAGCTGCTTGTCCCGGGCCCAGTAGCTGCCTGGAATACAGTCACGATGGAAAAGGTCCCATTTAGGTTTCCCAGAGGGTGATGAGGCCTCTGGGGCAGACACCTCCACCCTCCAGCTGCAGGTGAGAGAAGACACTGAAGTTCTGGCTCCAGGAACAGCAACAGGGCTCCTGTGCCCAACTCATGAGCAGGAAGATGGGCTCAGATATATGGGTGCAGGAAAGGCTGGTCGACAGCCCTCCAAAGGGCACCCATGGTGACTCAATCCTATAAACTAAATATGCACAGAGTCCAGTCCTTCTCACCCAGGCCTGATACCCACAGGTGGATTACAGGCTCACAGTGACTAAGTCCACCAAAGACTGATGTACGCCCAGAGGCCACTTACTCATTTAGAGAAGAGCCCATGACTGCAGTCCCCTGGGGTCCTATACTGGGAGGTGCTAGGAGAGCCGCCAATCACCCTGAGTGACGTGGTGAGTCTCAAGGAATCCTGAGGGGCTCTATATAGGGGGAGGTCACAGCATGGATGCTGGGGCCAGTAGATGTGGGTTCAGACTCTGGCTCCCCACTTACTAGCTGGGTGGCCAAACTCTCTAAGCCTTGGATTCCGCCTCTGTGAAATGGATGTGATCACACAACTTGTCTTGCTGGGTTTGTATGAGCATTGAATGAAATAGTGCAGTGTGATAGCTGGTACAGCGTCTGGGACACGGGTGCTCAATAAATGTTAGGTAAAAATATTAGTATTACATTGTTTCATCTAGATCCAAGGCCCGATGAGCCGCATCTGTCTCCCTCTAGTCACAAGAACATCTCTGTCCCCTCATTCCTGAGTGCCAGGCTCTCCCACATTCTCCAGGACATTGGGGTCCAATGCCAGACTTTGCTCCTCTGACCCCGGCTTTCTGACTTTGGCCCCTCTCTTTAGGGGGACACATCCCTGACAGTGTCATTATCACCAGGAAAGCTACGGCCAGGGAGCTAGTCCTAAGGCTGGGAGGCCTGAGATGGTAGATTTCACTCGTTTACCTCTCCTCCTGCCTGTCACCCTGTGCTGTGCTCTCCACATGCACGGAGAGCCTCCCCTTAGCACAGGAAGGGGATGCCCTGGGGCCTCCCAGGGACAGTGTCCTCTCCGTGGTGAGGATGGCCAGGAGGAGCCACACTCTCCATGAGCCCTGCTCACTGCCTGGGAGGGTGGGAATAAACCAGACCCTTGGTGGGGCTGCAGTATGACATTAGAATGCCATGAAAATGTGAAGAGGTTATATATTTGGGGATCTGAGGAGGCTCCTGTGGTGTATTCTCTGACTTCTGGGCAGATGTTCATTAGTCTGTGGGGAAATAAACCTCCCTCCATTCCTGCGTTTATTTGGTGCCAGGAATTGTGGTGAAGGTTGCATTTGTATCCACTCATTTGTTCTTCACAACAAGCCTACAAGGAAAGCTCTTATCATCTCTATTTTAGAGAAAAAAATAAAGCCTTGAGTGATTAATCCATATGCCCAAGGTCACATTGCTGGACCAGGGGCTTGAACCTTCAAACCTCACCATTTTTACACCGTTTCACATTTCTGTCTTATGTCACCACGCAAGCTGCACATATATGCCTTCAGTGGGGACTCAAGAGGCAGTGCATGTAAAATGCTGGCATATAGTAATTACCCAACAAGTGCTAGCTGCTACTGCTACTGTTATAATAATTATGATGAATAACATTCTTGCATATCGGCCTCCTGTACTAGGTGGTGAGCTCTCTGAGGGCAGGCACCAAGTCTCATTCATTTATTCGCCCAGGGCCTGTCTGTTATATAGACGAAACCACTTAAAATTTCGATAGAAAAATAAAGGAATCAGTCAATCATTTAAAAAGTGGCCAGTTAAGCAAAAGAATGAAGGGAAAAGGCTTTCTTGCCTCTGATGTTGGGCAGATAGTCCCAAAGAAGCACCCTGTTTGCTGGCCTGCCACCAGGCCGAGAACTGTTTGTAAGAAGCAGGCTTCAGCGTGGCGCCCCCCCTCCCCACACCCCAAGCAGGAAGGGGAGGGTTAGCTGCCTACAGTGCAGGCCCAGGCCCAGCCCATCAGCTGGTTGGGGGGTTGGTGGAGGATGTTGGGGCCGCCTCAGCAGAGGGTCCGTGTAGAGGACTCACCAGTCTCGCTGAGGGTCTCCAGGCACACGGGTTGGTGGGGTGCGGGGCCGTCCACCACTCGCTCCAAAATGCCTTGAACCAGAGCTGGCTGGTTGCTTGGGAAAACCCCCAGGTGCTCTCCAGGCTGGTAGCTGAGGCCTGGGCTGCCCTCACAGGAGAGTTCCACCAGGAGCGTGGTGCGGCTGGAAATGGGGAGGAGAAGCCGCTGGTAACCCACCAGGACTTCCTCCAGAGCGCCCGGCAGGTGGGCCGCTTTCCCCTGGAAATATGCCCTCCTTTCATTTTCCTGCCTGATTCCATGAGCACGGTCACCAGCACCCCAAGGCTGGGTCATCTAAGGGGACCTGAGACTGACCAGACTACTTGAGGCTTCTCCGTGGGTAGAGGATGGGCTGCACCCCTCCCTGTGCGCTCCTCCCAAGCCCACGAGGGCTTGACCACAGACTCTGCCTAACGAAAGCATCCCTCCAGGAGAGATGGAGGCAAATCCGGTTCTTGCTGGAACAAAGCCCAGTTTTGCTAATGAATGGGGAGGACAGCACAGAGAAACAAAACCTGCAGAGAATCCACAGCAAGGGCCTACCCTGGCGGGAAAGTCCTTCCCCGCTAGACTTTTCCTGAAAGTTCTTAAGGGAGAGCCAAATGGCCCTAGCTGGTTTGGCTCAGTGGATAGAGCATCAGCCTGTGGACTGAAGGGTCCCAGGTTCGATTCCAGTCAAGGGCACATGCCTGGGTTTCGGCTCGATCCCCAGTAGGGGGCATGCAGGAGGCAGCCAATCGATGAGTCTCTCTCATCACTGATATTTCTATCTCTCTCTCCCTCTCCCTTTCTCTCTGAAATCAATAAATATATATATTTTTAAAAAAGAGCCAAATGGTTGAATTTCTCTTGCCCCCCTTTTTGGTGAGAGAGTTTAGTGGCAAAGGGCAGGGAGTGAGGCAGGCCCCCAGTTGGGAAACTGGCCCAGGATGAATGGAGACCAGACATAGAGGCGCTGGTGGCCACGGTCAAGCCGGCCCTCACTGCTAATGCCAGTGGACACAGCTCTCTTCTCAAAGACTGACTTGCCCTGCACTTCCTTTCATTAAAATGAAACCTGTGGACCATCACCCAGAGCCCTGTGCTCTGCCCTACCTGGATTTGGGGCTCTGTAGATTCTGCCGCGACTTGAGCTTCATGGTGAACACATTCTTGGCGTGCATTCCGCTGAGGGCTGTGGGGACAGAGAGGCGGTGAGATGGCCAATGGCTCCCAAGCACCGTGTGCCCGAGTCAATGCCATCTGGACACTGCCCTAGGGAGGTCCCGCTGAGGGCGTGGGAGGGTTTTCTTTCCTTTGCCCCACCGTGTCTCTGAGTCATAAATGAGGACCTTTGGTCTGACCCAGGGTGGTTGTGCTGCTGCTGGGTGTTGAGAAATGCAACTCAGATGCCCAAATATGGGGATTCCGAGGGCATCCTGGACCCGCAGGAGAGCATCGTGGAAGCCGGGGATCTCCTAAACAAGCAGAAATCTGCAGGACCACCAGACGCATGGGACAACAAAAGGGGGAGCTTGAAGGCATGGTATCTGGGGGCACCACTGAGAGTTCACAGGCTGCAGAATGTTCTGGAATTGCCTCTGCAGAATGTTCTTTTCAATACGTGGCTGCCATCAGAGCCGAAAGGGTGGGGCTCAGATCTCAACTTGACCCCATGCTGGCGACTCACATCGCCTCCCTGAAGTTCCTTTCCTCTGTGCCTGTCTTGCAGGATGAGTGTCAGGGCTCGCTTAGAGCGGGTGGGCAAAGAGCCCAGCACAGTGCCTGGCACACAGGAAGCCCTCAGTTGGTGTGGCCCCTTTCTCTCTCCACCTCCCTCCCAGGGCTTCCTCCTTAAATGGCCTCCCTCAGGGACGAAGCAAGGCCTCGATTCTGGCACCCCAACCGGCTCTTGGAGGCAACAAGAGAGACGCCTGGCAGCCCTAGGCCGGCTGCCCCTGTTCAGAGGGTCCCGTGCTCAAAGACCCCACCGGGCAGGAAGGGCCAACCAGCCCCGTGTGGTGCAGGGAAGCAGGTACCTTTGTTGAGGTCCAAAGGCTGAGAGTCCCGCACGAGCCGGTAGTGGTGCGGGTCCCAGGTCACATTGGTGGTGTAGAGCTTGGGGATTTGAATGCGGTGTTTGCCTCGGACATCGAACGCCTCACAGGCTGCCTGGAAGGAGACAGAGGGAATCCGTGTTCGTGAGCGCCCTCGTCATCAGTGGCACCACCACCACTGGGGAAACGCTTCGCTTAAGGGAGGAATTTGCTAAATCAGGAATCAAACCTCAGGCAACAAAGATCTGAACTGTGTGGTCCCCATTCCCAATCTCTGTCCCCAACAAGACCAGGCTGTCAAGAGGCGCTGGATAGTCAGAGGGGAAAAGATCTTAAACCAAAGCTCCCAGGAGTCAGGAAGGTGTCCTGCTACCTTCTCCTACCCGGGGACACAGGCCTAAAGTGGAGCTCTTCCGGGGGCACCACTGCTCCCTGTCCGTGCTGTGGGGCAGCACCAGCTGTGAACTGACCTTGAAGGTTTGCACGGCCCAGCTGCGGAAGTCCTCTTCCTGCCCACTGAGCTCGTCCCCTTCCCCCGTCGGGATGAGCTGAGACGCTCCCAGGTGGGACAACTTCTGGTCGACATCATGAGCAAAGGCGCAGAACTGAGGGTACATGCTGGAACCGAGTCCAAACACGGCATACCTGCCCGAGGAGGACACACACACAGAGACTGGAGTGAGCCAGCCATGCAAGCATCTCCCAGCAGCACCAACATCCCATAGGCCGGGCGCAGGCACTCCCAGTGCAGCCCAGCACAGGGCCCAATAGTGTATGCCCCCTTCTGGGCCTTCCTAGCGCCAGAAGCTTGTCACCAACTCCATGACCAACCCTAAGTGTGGCCTGCAGACCCGTAAGAGGGGCGTGGATTCCCTGGCTTGAGGACAGGCTCTCTCCAGGCCTGGACCCCCCCCTCCCCGCCCCCAGAGAGGACCCTCTAATATACACCCAGTGCCAGACTCTGGGCCCATCAGGCAGGGCTCGGACAAGAGGGGGTGGGAACAGCCTTACCTGAACTTGTTGGTGAGCTCTTTCAGCATGAAGAGGGATTTCTTCAGTTTCTAGAAAGAGAGAGAACCACAAAGGTCTCAGGACAGGATTTATAAAAGCAACTGCTGCTTCTTTCTTCTGGTGGCCCATTCAGAACCGGCCACATCTGAGAGAAGGCTCAAGATCCACAAATGCAAGTTGGTTGGTGTGTACCTGGCTGGGGCTCAGGGACAAGTCCAGCCTTAGCCACTCATGTGGCCTTGACCCTCAGTGGGGGGCCCGGAAACAGCCCAGCCCCCACCACACCCAGCCCTGTAGAGGGTTTCCTGATGGGGGCATGAGTGAGCCCCGCTTCCTGTTTGGAACCTGGTGAGAGCAACAACTGTTCCCGTATTTTCTAAAATAACCCTGATTTCCCAGGAACTCAAGATAATTTTAGGTGGTACCTGTCCTAGCAGATGTAGTGTCAGATCTCCTGGTAAGATAGTATTCTCTCCTCTGTAATTTATTTTTAGTTATTCCCATTTCAACTTTTTGTTATTGTGGTTCTCTTAAACACTAGGGAGAAAGTCTCACATTGGTAGTAATGGAGCCTTAACACCTCTCTAATACTTGCCTACTATTTTTTTTTTAAACCTTAAGCAAGCCATGGTCGGCTAATAGTATCTAGCTAAAACGCAATAACTCCGTTTGGCTTTCATTGGATTTGTGAGAGTGAGATAGAGTTTCCTTTAAACATGAATTGTTGAATTTGAAAGGTAGGTCAGTTTGCTGAAATCTATTACGTATGTCGTAGGAAAGGTGAGACGTGCATAGGGCGATCACTACGAAGGACACAGGCAAATGGCTGACATTGGGCAACCAGAGTGCTCTGAGCACTCACCCCCAAATGTCCTCCTCAGGATATGCTGAACCCCCACATCCCTTCCTTGGGCCCTACCACCCCCCGGACCCTGGGACCTGGGCCACCTACCGCTCCATTGCCGGGGGAGTCTCCGTTCCCAAAGGTGCTGGTCACCACCAGCAGCAGCTGCTCCTCCTCCAGGCTGCTCAGCCTGTACTCGTCCATGCAGAGAACCTGCATGGCACCGAGGGTGGGCATCAGCCCTGGTTCCCAGGCTGGAGCCCTCTGTGCCCTCCCCAGACACCCTGTGCTTTCCTGCCCCGACCCAGGCCCTTAGCCCCCTTCATCATCCAGGCCCCCCGCCTCCCCCCAGCACAGGTGTGGCACAGAGAAGGTGAGTACCTAACAAATCCATCAGATGAACCCCCTTGAATACACGGCCTCAATTCTCCCTGCCTCCAGCCCCACCTCCACCACGTCAGCAAGCCCTGGGGGGGTCTGCCTCCAAACTACTGCCCGGCCCAGATCAAAACATTTCCGCCACTCCCGCGGCTATTTTGGATTCTTAGTGCGTGGATGTATCTTCCACAAAAATGGGGTGAGCAGGTTACAAAAATGACAACTCCTCTGGCACCTCCGGAACCCAGACACTTTGCCTGACGCTAATGGCAGGTGAAGGGTGTCACAGCCTCGCTCCTACCCGGGCCCACCCGCCTCGGGAGGCCAGCAGGGGTGAAGAATGGCGTCCAGCACTGACGGGATGGGTGAGCCACCCGCTGGGGTTTTATTTCTCTGCGTTTTATTCACCCTTTGCCTCCTCACACTCAGCACTGCACCCTGTAGGGAAGGTGTGCAGGGAACGGCAATAAAATTCATCTAGAGCAGCTCAGAGAAACTGCGACTTGGGCTCATTAGGAAAGTGTTTCTCACCCGACCAGTGTGCTCAGTGGTTGGGCATTGACCCATGATCCAGGAGGTCAGGGTTCAATTCCTGGTCAGGGCACATGCCCAGGTTGTGGGCTAGATCCCCAGCGAGGGCATACAGGAGGCAGCTAATCAATGATTCCCTCTCATCATTGATGTTTCTATCTCTTTCTACCTTCCTCTCTAAAATAATATATATATTTTTTAAGAAAGTGTTTCTCAATCTGCATTCCCTGGAACACTCTGAAAAACGTATCAACTGTGTAAGTTTGAGAACCCCTGGACACACCTATCCCCCTGTGTGTGATTTACAACGTAGAGCCACACATCCAGGCTCTGAGACATCCTGGAGCAGAGCACTCTGACTTTCCCAGATTTCCCCGAACACAGGCAGGGGAACGGCACATGTCCAGCCGGGTCAGGTACCTTGGGGTTGAAGGCACAGCTGAACAAAGCCCCTAGGTCCTGGGCCAGCGTTTCCGATTTTCCCGTCTCCGTCGCAAAGAGGATGGTGGCTCTGACTCGGGACGCCATGGTCTTGCGCATCAGTATAGAGGCGAAGAGCACGGCTCTGTGGGGACAGACAGACAGATCCTGTGCCGGGTCATCCTTCCAGAGGGAGATGGGGGCCAGGAAGGTGGGAGGGGACAGTGTTTAAAGTGGGCAGATTGAGTTAAAAGAACCCATGTGTCTCACCAGCTATCAACCCTGACTCACCACCTTCTCCTGCCCTCACCCGCTCCGCTTAGCCCCTTTGGGAAAATGCAGGAGAGAGGAGGTTGGGACAATAGCGACAGGTGACCCTTGGAATTGGTGTGGGGACCTCTGGGAGCCAAACTCCATCAAGATCACTTCTTTGTTCCCTGCCCTTCAAGGCCTAGAGGGCAGGCTGACTGGAGGGAAGATGTCAACACGGGCCACTCCCACTTACTTAACCAGGACTTGAAACCGAATCTCTCTTCTCCGGGGCCTCAGCTTCCCGTCCTGCCAGACGTGGGTTTTCCACGCTTCCACCTTCAGGAAAGAAGGCAGATGTGAGAGCCAGGCAGGCCCAAGCTCAGCGTGGACTTGGGAATGCTGATTAAGAGCATCAACCCATGAACCAAGATTTCCCCCATTGGATTCCTATTCAGGGCACATGCCCGGATTTCGGGCTCAATCCCCAGTAGTGGGTATGCAGGAGGCAGCCAATCAATGTCTCTCTCTCTCATCGATGTTTCTAACTATCTCTCTCTGTAAAAAATTAATAAAATATATTTTTTTAAAAAAGAATACCTTTACAAAATAAATAAAAAGTATTAAGAATGTCTGCACATGTGTTCTTGGTCCTTCTCCATACGTCCTGCATGAGCGAGCATGCACATGCACACATGGATGCACACGCATACACATGCATGCACGTGCACATACATGCACACATGTGCAGACACACACTGTCTCTACCCCTGAGCCCCCAAGACAGAGAGAGGAGGAAAGCCCTCTGTTACCTGGTAGTAGTAGAAAGGGGACAGAACATAGTTTAACATCTCCTGGTGGAACACGGGGGTGATGCTGCCAGAAATGGGGGGCACCAGCCAAATCCAGTCGGCGGGGCAGCCCCCTCGGGACCGGTACTCGTTCTGCATGTACTTCATGAAGGACTCTGCAGCCGAGTGGTGGTCCATGATGGTCACATTTAGCTTCTAAATCAGAAGGAGGCAAGAGGGGGAGTTGAGACAAAGGACAGGGGAATCAGGAGAGTGGTCGGTTGACTGCAGGGTTCCCAGGTAAACCCTGGGAGGCCTGGAAATCTGTAAAATGGGACAGCAATTCCTTCTGGTCCCCTCCTCATGGCTGAAAATAAATATCCAAAGGAAGGCACGCCAAAGGAGGCAGAAAAATCACCATCACCATGGTCAGCCCACAGATCAGATGGTGGCCTCCTATTGGCCCTCTGGGGCAGTGTCTATCTTCTCCGGCCATGCCTACTGGTCTCCCCAAATTCCCAGCTGATGGCTCTCTCTCTGGATGCTGATAAATCAAACCACAGCGCATTTTTGTTGGGAGAGAATCCCAGGGGTCACTTCCCCATGGATGTGGCTCTCTTGGCCAAGAAGGAACTAGACCCCCCTGAAGAGGATGGACGCACTGGGAGAACCATGGTGTCTGGAAGACAAGTGACCAACATCCTAAAATTAAAAGCCTGAGCTTCCCACACTGACCCAACAAGGGCCACACCCTCAATGCCAGAGGCAACCCATGCAGCCAGGAGACACCTGCTTCATGTAGTGGTTCCAACCTTGGCCTCTTGTTGGCCCTGTGACCACAAGTCATTAGTTCCTGAACCTCACTAAGCCTCAGTTGCCTCGTCTGTGAAGTGGGGATGCTAACAGTTCCTCATGAGGTTATTGAAAGGATGCAATACATTATTACAAGAAAAAGAACAGAACGTGCTCAGTAAACTTAGCTGCTGCTATTATTTCTATCTGCCAGGCAGTGCATCAGGCACTGGCATTATAGACATGAAAGACACGGTGCCTCCATACATCGGATTGTATTCTAATTAGGGGAGGAAGAAGAAAGTCCGCTTTTCACGTGGTCTGACAGCAGCTACGTGGAGGGGTGCAGGTGCTGATGGAGGGCAGAGGAGAGGGCTTAGCTCAGAGGCCTGGAGGAGAGATGGGGCTTCCAGGGACAGCTTATAAGAGGAGGTGAGTCCTGAGAGATGGGTACAAGATAGGCCAGAGACAGGCATTCCTGGAGGAGGACACAAACATGAGTCAAGGCCAAGAGGAGGAGAGGAGCTACTAGTAGCTGATGGAGGTCTCAAGAGACCCCCTCACACCTTCTAAAATGTATACATACATACACCATACATATGCAACTCCTGGGTTCCAGATCAGTTTTAAGCTCTGGAATGGATTGTTGTGATAATGACAGTAACAATAATAAATAATAACAACAACAACATGGGTGCTTGCTAAGTGTTCACTATGGGTCAGGCAGTTCTGCTAAATTGCATCTATTTCATTGAATTCTTACAGTGACCTAGGGAGGAAGGGACAGTTATTATCTCTGTTTTAAAAATTAGGAAACAAGGCCAAGTCTTTGGAAGTTTACTGTGAAGAAGGGTCAGTGATGAGGAAGTCTTGGAGACTCAAAAGCAGGGACGGGACGGGACCAGCAATGGTCAAGAGCCAGGAAGGACCAGCAGGTTTTCCGGGACAGATCCGCATCCTGCCAGTGTCAGGGCCGATGCTGGGAGCCCCAGGAGTCAGGATGTGTGGTCCACGGGTGGCCCGTGGGGCCTTCCCAAGCTGGGCCAGCCTCACGGGGCTCTTCCTGTCCTGTCTCAAGGCCACCCCCTCCCTGAATCAAGCACAAGCCTGACCTACCTATGGGGTGACCTGCCCTGGGGAACAGCATGTGATCGTAAATATTTACTGGGCGATTGTTTAATGTCAGCTCCCCACTACACTTCACAAGGACAAATTTTTCTCTAGTTTGTTCACCACTCACGTCTGTGGCCCAGCCTAGGGTCTGGCACATGGAAAACGCTCAATAAAACTTTGATGAATGAATGAACGACTCTCTGCCCAGCGGTTTGGCCACCAAGGCACCTGCCAGTTTTGTGGAGATGGTCTCAGCTTCTACAGTAATGTCTTCACACACCCCATGATCCTTCCCAAAGGATGTGTTTATATGCGTAAGAGCAGCAGATGGTCCAGTGGGCTCAGTCTCACACAGGAACCAACCTGCTGTGTGTAGGTCCAAGGGGTGGACACTGTCACTCAGAAATAAGAGCACCACTGCTCAGGAGGATGGGGGCTCTCGTTCATTCACTCAACACACTTTTTTTTTTTTTTACCATGTGCCAGACACTCTCTGGACTCTAGAGCTAGAGCAGTAAACAAGAGACAAGATATCTGCCCTATGGAGCTTACATTCTGGGGTGGGCTGGGGGTGGGGACAAAACAACAAAGAAAGAAAGAAGTAGATGTAGTATATATTGTCAGGAGCTAGTAAGTATTATGAAGAAAAATAAAGAGCGTTAAGGGAAGAAGAGAGAAAGAGGGTGGAGGTGGGGTGAGGGTGCCGTTTTATATGCATGGTCAGGAAGGGCTCCTCTGAGGAGGTGACATTGGCACCTCGATGAAGGGAAGGGGCCGGTCGTGGGATGACTTGTGGGAAGAGTGCTCTAGGCAGAGGGAAAAGCAAGTGCAAAGGCCCTGAGGTGGGAACTATATCGGTGAGTCTGAAAAACAGCAAGAATTCTAGTGTGGCTGGGAGGTTGGTGGGAGAGGCTGGGGGAGGCAGAAGTGTAAGGAGGTCCTTCCTTGGTTTTGTTGTAAAGGGACGCAGAAAACACGGTGGTAGGTGGGGGAGGCATTGGGTTAGCTAGCCATTGATTTCTTTGAGATGAGAGCCATTGCAGCCTATCGATATTGACAGGAATGACCCAGTGGAGAGGGAGACACTGATGAGACAGGAGAGAGAAGGGGGAATTTTTCAGAATTAAAGTCCTTGAGAAATTAAGAGAGGACAGGATTCAGTGCTTAAACGCAGGGGTTGACCAGTCATGGGAGGAAAGCAGCTGCCTGTTGCTAGAAGCATGCAAGCTGCACCAGGAGACCTCGAGTTAGTGGGAGGGCTTATCTGTCTGTATCCCCAGCACCTAGCACCGTGTGTGGCGCAAGCTGGGTGTTCCATGCTTGTTTGGTGCATAAATAAATGAACGGTGCTGTCATGGGAAGTCGAGCATGGCATGCGAGGCTGGGCCAGATGACCTTCTCACCAGAAAGGCCCCCAGAACCCCAGTCATACCTGGAAACTGTGGAGCACGGCGACATTGATCTCAACGACAGCCTGGTCCTTCCAGAGTGAGGCGAGCTTGTGCGTTTCCAGGCCCATCCTTCTGCCCACCTCCTGCAGAGGCAGAAAAATGGCGGTGCATCAGTCCCTGGGACCAAACCACAGGCCCCCACCTCCCGCTGGCCCAGCTGGACGGCCCTCCTTACCTCCAGGATGTTGTAGCGCTGGACGTCACAGAAGTCCCGGACTCCGATCTCTGTGCCCATGTACCAGCCGTTGAAGGGGCACCCTGGGAACTCCAGGCCACCCACCTCGAGCAGCATGTTGGACACGGCAGGCAGGGCGTACCACTTCAGCCCCAGCTCCTGGAACCACTCGTACCTGGCAGGGACACAGAGCCAGTGGGTATTGGGGCCTTCACTTCTGCCCCCCCTCACCGCACCCCTCCCCCAAAAGCTTCAGAAAGAGTCAACCAAGAAAGCTCTTGTTCCAAGGGTTGATCTCTAAGTTCATCCCCCTTGGAGGGGTGAAGGGGTACACGAGGTGTCCTTCATTGATTATGCATTCATTCACTCGTTCATTAATTCACCCAGTCATATAGTAAGCATCAAGTATGTGACAGGCCAGTGCCAAAAGCTGAGAACCCACATAACATAGTGGTTAAGGACGCTAGAGTCAGAAAGCCTGGTGTCAGGTTCTGCCTTACTGCTTACCAGCTGTGTGAACTTGGGATGTTATTTAGCCACTCTGAGCCTCACTCACCCCACCAACAAAATAGAGGTAATAGCATCAAACTCGTGAGGTTACTGTGAAGATAGTACTATTGTTCACTTGTATGTTCATTTATTCCAGAAATATTTATAATTGAGCACCTACTATGTGCTAGGCACCCTGCTAGGTGTTGAGGATATACTGCTGAACAAGAAAGGCAAGACCCTGCCCTGGCCGGTGGTGCTCAGTGGTTAGAAAACCACCCCACACACCAAAGGGTCGTGGGCTTGGTTCCTGATCAAGGGCACATACCCAGTCAGGGCACATGTGGGAGACAACCAATCTATGTATCTCTTTCACAACTATATTTCTCTCTCTTCCTCCCCCCACCCCAAATAAAATAAAACAATGGAAAATTATCCTCAGGTGAAGATTAACAACAACAAAAAAAGGGCAAGTTCCCTATTCTCAAGGAGTTTACAGTCTGTAGACTCCAGTCTAGACTATAAACAAGTAAACAAACAAATAAATAGGAAAATAAAAACCAGGTGACGTGTTAAACAGAGGGTGGGGACGCTACTCTAGATCAGGAGGGGCTTCTGGAGGGGGAATACTGCACTGACAAGAAGGAATGTACTCTGAGGAAAGGGCACAGGAACAGCAAGTCCAATGGCCCTGAGGCGGACTGAGTTCCGGATATTCAAGGCGCACACACAGAAAGAGAGGCCAGCCCAATGATGGCGACACGGTAAATCTCAACATAGGCAGGTATTCTGTGATTGTGAGAGCTGACTGGAGCAAGGGCTGCACCAGATGAGCTCCTGAAGTCACTGCAACCTATGCTTTCATCACAGTCAGGCGAGGCACCGCTAAGAGAACCGGCAGGGAGGCAACAGAGGCCTGTGCCGCTCAGTGTGAGGGTCTCAGGGCCCCACAAGGGTTCCTCTCCCAAGATCACTGCTTCCCAAGCTCCTTGGGCCCCATCTGTCCAAGCCTGCGCTTCCCCCTCCTCCTCAATACGCCCTCGTAAGTCGGAAGCCCCAGACACACCCGCTGTATGAGGGTGACGGGAAAAAAAAGAAAGCAAGCCCTGTGGGGCACCTGCTGCTGACCGGGCTTTGGAGGAGATGCAAAGAGAGGCCTGAGGATGGAGGTCTCCCTCGGGAAAGGAGGGGGACCTGCATGTTCACTCACACCCAGCACCCTCGCCTGCTTACTTGGGATGTTCCATAGGCACCTCGAGCACAAGGTCGGGCGGGATCTCGAAGAGCTCAGGGTCGCGGCCGCCGGCCTGCAGGACCAGAGGCACCACGTCGAAGCGGCCATACTTGGGTTTCCAGCCCAGGTCGATGCACAGCTGGGGACAAGACAGGCCAGTGAGTCTGCAGACCCAGGCCCCTCGCCTCCTCGAGGCTCCACTGTCACCCTCCAAGGCTGGACCTGGTACCTGGGTGAACTCCACGCAGGCGGGGTCCCCGCGGATGGTGCCATCCGGCATCTGGTAGCCGGCATAGCGGATGAGCTGGGAGTTCCAGACTCGGAAGTCATGCTTCCCATCGCTCCGCTGCGGGAACACCGTGATGGCCGACCTTCCCCAAGACAAGGACCGCGCTGTTCACCACCTGGCTCGGGTCGGGGCTCCCAGCCATCCCTCTCTGGTCCCCTGCCCCTTCCTGTCTTCCCACTCCCCAGCCCTCTGCACCAGCTCCTGCAGCTCCCCAACATGCCCAGCGCTCCCTGCCTCTGTGTAACCTGCCCCACTTCCTGAAATACCGTCTCCTTCCCTCTTCCATCTTAAAGACCCACCTCCATCCCCTCCAAATGGTTCCAAGGAAACCAAGAATACAAGTTATTGAGGGGGGCTAAGCTCGCGGAGGCTCTGCTCATTACCAGGGCTCCCTAAAGAAGCCCGAGTTGACGCTTTCTTTCTCCCTGGTTTCTCCTGGAGCCAGAGATGCCACCCCTAAACACATTTGTATCTTCTGGCTGAGTCTGGAGGTGGGTGGACCCCAGCCATCGCCTAGGCAAAGGGGCTCCCACCTGATGTTGCCGTTGTTGGTGGAGTAACGCAGGTGTCTGCAGATGTGCTCGAACATTTCCTGGGCAGTGGAACAGCGCCGGGCGTCGAAGACCTGCACACAGCCCCCCAGACACGCCCATCAAGATCAGTGAGAACTCCGGTCTCAGGGATGATCAGAAGCTAAATCACGAGGGATCCGAGGGTGGGCTCCAGACCCCCGGGGCCACACACCAAGCAGAGAGGTGCTTCCTCATCTCTGCATCGACACCTCCCACCCAGGGCTGCCCCGTCCAGCCTTTCTCCTGCTCTCCTAGGGGAGCCCAAGCACCCCCACTTGGAAGATCCTATCAAAACCCCAATCCCAAGAAAACTCGATGGCAAGCACCAAGAATCCGGATTCCCGCAGCCCAGCCTAGTTTCTCTACAAGGTGAGCGCATTGGACGCCAGGCCTCCAGCACAGTTTGTTATAGGCGGAGGTGCTTTCACTGGCATCGCTCCTCGATTTCTCTGTCCAAAGGCTTGCGATATTCTCCAGCAACACAACACCCCCTCGATGTAAAGATGTCCTAGGCAGCTACACTAAAGAAAATGTTTTCTAGGGGCCAAGGATCCAAACAGTCCAGGCAAACCACCTCTCTTGCGGCACCAGGGCTTCCACAATAATAATAACAAGGTCATCTGGTTTGATGTTGGCCGCTAGTCTCCCAACTTGGACATCAGAGAGAAAGATCAGCTGGAAACCCTGGGGCTGACATGGGACCCTAGACTTCCCACGGGGGCCCATCTCAGGTTCAGGGGTGTGCAGAGAGAAGTTGAGGCCCCGGGTTCTGTCCAGGAGCCCTGGGCACAGCTCTGCTTGGCTGTTCGGGGGCCTCTGCCCAGGGCCCACCCGTCCACCGCTTCCTCTCCCGCTGGGCTCTAGGGAAGTGCACCTGCAGGTTGGACCACTGGATCCTTCCGATGCAGCGTGGGGCATTGCGCCAGGCCTGCTTGGTGGCGTAGATGAGCTCATCTCCCGTCAGCTGGTAGGTTCCTGTTGTTTCTATCTCCTTTGTTACAGCTTCCACCCTGGCCAGATGTTCCTCTATTTTTGCCCTGGGGGACAGGAAGACATCAGGAAGATCAACAACGAGATAGCCTTACACAGGCATTAATTCAAGCCACAGAAGCAGGAGCTGAATTAGGACACCAGGACGTCAAGATGTCTCCTGGAGACCGGCCCCTCCAGGTCAGCTTCAGGGGTGCGTGACCTGGGCCCGGAGCTTAGAAGGGCCCCGCGCTTGGTCTCATGCTCTGCTGTCACTGTGTTCAAACTCGGAATCCCTTTTGAACAGGGAGCCCGCGTTGTCTTCGATTTTACACGGGGCCCTGCCAGCCACGTCGCTGTTCCCGATCCCAGCAGCACCCTTGTGGTTTCTGGGCACTTTTTCTCTAATCACGTACATCTCCGCTCGGCGAGCGCGAGCAGGGAGTGCGTGCAATCCCCCTCAGACACACGCGAGACCCAGAGGGGCATCCGTCACGCCGCAGTCCCGTCCTGCCTCTCGGCTGGGGAGCAGCCGACCACCTTCCCATGGTGAAGAGATGAGCCAGTCAACCCCTCCCACGGCATCTCCTGTGCACGGAGTACCTGCTAGAAGCCCGGTACTGGTGAAGTCACTCACAGTCGGTGTCTCATTGGGCCTGTGAGGGAGGCGTTTTTGTGTCCATTTTATTGTCAAATGTATCAAGGTTCTAGGAGGGTACGTACCCCCACGGAACGGGTGTGATAAAGACCAAAGTCAGGGCTCAGATTCAGGTTTCCCTGATGCCACGCCCAGGCTCTTCACCTTCCACCTCCTACCCCAGGGGGAGTGCAAGCCCAGAGATGCTGCGGGCCTTCCCACGCTCTCCTGCTCAGGCTCCCACAGGGAGTGGCTCTCAGGACCCCACCTGCAGGGCCCCAGGGCCTGCTCAGGGAGGACACCACCACCGCAGGGTCCACCATCCCAGCTCTCCACAGCCCGGGGTTTCTCAATCTCTGCACCTCTCAGCCAGCAAGGCAGGTGAGGTGTCTACACTGGCTCCTCTCCGCCCCTCCCAGGCTTCAAAAACACCCCACAGGGAGGAATTCGGGCAGAAAGGCTTTGAAACACCACCACCACCACCACCACCACCACCACCACCACCTTGGGATTTCCAATCAGCACCAAAAATGTTTGAAATGGCAACAAACAAAACTATTTAAGGAATGAACTCCTGATTAAGGAGAGTGGACAACTCAGAACAGAATGGCCTTTCTGTGGATGAAGAGTGCCCCGACCACTCTTCCTTGATTAAGGAAAAAGCTCAAAGACAAAACACTTGACACCATTTATCTTCAAGGATACGCCGCTGCCGGGTGAAGGTTGAGGCAGCCCCTTCTCCCTAAACAAAGCTCCTAGCAACACTGGCTGCACCCAAGCATGGAAACCGCAGCCATGACCAGAACACAAGGCCTCGCGCATACTTGTTACCATGTGATTCTATAAGGAAGAATTCCTCTTTTACATGTTTACCCCATTCCTTTAGAATTTTATATTTTGCCACAACTTTCATATAGCCATGTTTCTGAGGCACTGAAGTTGCTATGATGCCTATTAGTTCTGGAAAAAAAAAGAGAAAGTGGCTTTTGGCATCGGTGAACTGGATTTGAACAGAATATTGAGCAAGTTATGATTTCTATCTATACATTCTTTCCTTCATGAAAGACCGAACCGGCCCAGCTGCCTGTGCCTGTGGCTGCGAGTGTAATTGTGGAGATGGACTGGCATTTGTCCTCCATCGCCCCCAGGACCTCATGGGGGTCCCAGGTGTGGACTTGTACTGCGAGAAATGGCTCTTTCCTCCGTGAGAAGCAGGGCAGCCCTGGGGCCTCCCCCAGCTAACATCCGCCCAGCTGCCTTCAGACACCAGCAGGACCTCCCAGGTCCAGCATGGAACCTTGAGGTTAAAGCAGGGGCTCTAGTACCAAGCTGCTGGGGTTCAAACCCTAGCTCTGGGACTTCTGAATGTGTGACTTTGAGTGGGTTCATCTCCTCCACAGCCTCAGTTTCCATGTCTGAAACACGCGGAGGATAATAATGGTGCCAATCTCATCAAGGCGTGGTGAGCGTTACTCCCAAGGCACTCACGCAGGGCCCAGAACATACATAGTGCTCGGTAAGTGTTAGCATCGATACAGTGGCCCAAGGAAGCCCATGGGGAAAATTCCCGCCCCCTCGTTCATTAGTCAACAACCTCACTGACAGCCCAAGGCGCCCGAGCCTCCTAGTCACCCAGCACCCTGCAGAGGTTCCAGTTGCACAACACACAGCCTGCACTCCCCTGCGTGAATAGGGCTCTCAGCCCAGCTGTGCGTTAGCATCGCCTGGAGATGTCTGCTGCCTCCCCACTTCCTGGGGCCCTGAAACTCGTGGCCCAAGGGACCCTGACACCAACATTTTGCAATGTCCTCAGGCAACTCTACTGTGCAGCCAGGGTTGAGGATCACTGGCCCTGGGAGGTCACATTTCTGAGGCACTGAAAATGCGATGATGCCTATTAGTTCTGGAAAAAAAAGGAAATGGGCCCTCCCGGCTCAGATGTTGTCTGGTCATAGGAGAGGGCATGTGGTCTCACCAGAACCGCTC